ACGTACATTACTTACGCATTCAATTAGCAAGATATATGAAATTAATCGAACTAAATTGATTAAATGAATCCGTTGAATGAAAAACGCGTAGCGCGTTTTATCTGCGGATACCTTATTTCTTCACGTACGGAATGAAGAAAAGAAAGACGCCATGATTTGCTATAAAAAAGATTGATTAATTAGATTTGATTTACTCGGATGCAGCTGATGATATCGCATAGTTGAATCACACATATTAATTACCGCGTGCGTGCATCGGTCGATCAGTTTATTGGATATTCAAGAGACGCTGCGCATCACCTGCTGCTGCACCTCGCGCTCGACATCGACCGGTGACCGGCCGGGCCCAATTTGTTTGGCGATTAAATTCGCGGTCGGTCCGTTCGCCCGGTTCGAATCGATCGCCGAAATATCGAGACAACAGGCGAATCAGGCCCGGACCGGTACTCTCCGCGCCGTTAATGGCAGGTTGTACGATCGAAACACACACGCGGTTATTATTGTAATGGATAAACGTGCTTCCGCCAGAAGAGGGGAACAAGGGAATAATTAGGAGGCAGTCTTGATTTCGCGAGAGCGCGCCCGTAATGGGATGCAAATTGCATTAGCGGCGAGCGGGATATCGGGGTGCATCGCGCCCGATGCGATCTGAATGCAATATTGACATTAACGCCGCGACGTATTGCCGGGGAAAATATTAATTTCCGGCAGAGGCGGAGGCGTCGAAAGACGACAGAAAAACGCGGCCGTACCGCGCCGCGTGACCTCGGTATAAATATTAACATCGACGATGTTATTCGTAACAGCGCGCGCCCTTGTAAGAAGAGAGGAACATCATTAGACGGCATTAACGGCGCGTTTGCGTAAATACCCTGAGAACAGAGCGTTAGGCCGATGGCTAATAGCACGGGGAGCGCTGGCGAATTCCGTAAATCCCATTTGATCTGCCGACATAAAACAAACACACCCATCGCCGTTGCCGGCGAAGTTTAACCGTAGGGTCCACGCGCGGGGAAGTTATCCCTCCGCGGATAGACTTTGTATAATATAATTTCGGCGCATCCCCTAAACTCATTCACGTGCGCCCGAGCGCGATAACGCTCCTCTGGTTTCTTATAACAATATAACATTAACATGAAAAATTGTTATATTTCAATAAAATAGTTAGATGCGCCAGCAAATTGCTTAGAGATTACATGTATTTGTTCAATTAAAAATCTCGTCACAAATTTTTCACATGTGATTTTCATCCGCTTCAATCCGT